CACACGTTTCCATCAAGTACCTGCTTCCTAAATTTTTAGAAAAACTCGCTTCTACGCTTCCAAACGCTTCCGTTTCCGCGTACCAGCTTCCATTTCTATGCAGTTTAGCATACAAGTTTATTTTCTTTTCAACTAAATTTTTAAGAATTCAATAAACAAATTTGTTTGTTTGGTAAAAAAATTGTGATTTTAAGTTGTTTCACACGCGTCTGACCTATTGGATCTCTCGTGGAAAAGGATTGTTTACTTCTTCCACGGGAAAGCAAATCAGGTGGATTCCTTGTTCTTCTCACTGTTTATTCAGCTATCATAAACGTCTCTTATCCTTTAGTATGATCGGTCGTTACCCATTCTTTTTTGCAACAATTTCGTCGTTTGCAGTGTACATTTCCATGTATGTCTTTTTAAGCGATTATGCATATCTTAATTTCATTGTAATGAAATGTTTCCTCCTTTAGTGGCGAATGGGATTCGTTTTCCTACTTCTTTTCTTCCGAGTGATATAGTGAACGACTGAAACTATTATAACTCTTTAAAACGGTCATAACTATGTTTACCCAACCAACCATTTATGATTATTTTTGATATAATTTTATTTATTACTATCATCAATTTATTTTATTTTTAAACTAAATTTTTTGTGACAGAATCGTTTTTATAATAATTTGCCACCCTTTTTTTGTTGCGGAACGGTGAGCATCCCAAGTGAAATTTGAGAACCCCTCATCATTTTATAGTTTGTAATAACTCATAAATCTAGACGACGTTTAAATTAACTATACAATTAAAGGTTTTCCGGCCAATTTATTGTACGTATCAGAGAATTAATTTACTAAAAAGTACAACAATTCCATAAAAAAAAAAACAATAAACCCAATAGAAACTAAACAACACTTTACATAAAAAAAGGGAAATTAGCATATATATTAGTCTTTCCACCTATAATTTATTATCTAACACCGTGTAAAATATAATGTAATAACTAGCATTTAGGTCAGACTAAATCTCAGTTTTGCCCTTATGTAATTAATACAGATTTTAACAATTAAAAAAATAAAAAATAAAACTTTCCTTTTATCCAAACTATTCATTTTGCTTAAACATTTTATACCCTAATCTATTAATTTATTTTCCTCACCGCTGTTACATTAGTCGCCTCTCCACGTTCACATCA